TTCTGAAAATATGTCTTTTGATAATCTGTCTTCTTCCTACCTGTTAGACTATGCTTTTAACTAATAATAGATTCTAGGTTCATATAATTGAATAATCAAAGCATTGCTTGAACTTTTCAGACCTAAAAGAAACCTGCTATGCTTTTTCAATATGACTTTACTAATGCAAAACTGACTGCTCCACAGATCAGGTTTTTTTCTCAAATTGTACAGAAGCATTGTGCTTCTGGAATGACACTTCAGCCTGATTTTGCTAAATAGGTCAATAACACCTCGAGATTAATTGGTTTAAAGTGCCAGCACAGGCAACCCCTAACCTCTCTTTCTTAAAACAGGTGATCCTACTGTTGCTAAGTTTGCCTTTAATGCTTCATATGCTTCTTTCTTTTGATGAGCAGTGTTTATCTAGAAATGATTAGAAATTTGCTACCTGTGTTAGAGTGGTAGTGTTTAAATATCTACCACTTGATTTGATTGTTGATTTGGTTGGTTGTTTTTTTTTTTTCTGTTCTACTCCTAGCTTCCAGAGAATATGTAATTTTAGGAAAAGGAGTTTGTGTTCAAACATGAAAAATGTCAATTTGCATCAACAGAAGTTACCTAAGTCCTCCTACTTTCATTGCAGCAACAGGGAAGCGTGGCTGCAGAGCTGCTGTGGGACTATGCCAACCACCATAGACAAGGCTGCATAGTAGGAGGGGGAGGGAAGAGAGGGAGAGAGGCCTCAGAGAACCCCTGAGGGCTCTGGCATGGGGACATGTAGTGTAGGAGGATTCGGTCATCAGCCTTTTGCAAAAAGCAGGAAAGTAATGCTGGAGGCACCACAGAGTGCAGCAGTAATCAGATGCTAATTCAAAATGAGGCACTTCTAATTCTCCTTAAGGGCATTTCCACTTCAGACAAGGTAGTTCACCTGACCTTTTCCCTGGCAGAGATGTAAGAAGGTCTGAAAACAAACACTGGGAGCACAGCTTCATTCAGCTCTTGGAAAGCCTGCTTAATATTCTGAAAAAGTCACCCTAATCCTGTCAGTATTAACAGCAGGGAGATGGCAAACCAGCTCTTTCTGATACAGCAGAAGCAGTGTTAGAATGCACTGAATAATTCCACTTTGACCTAAAATTCTGGTTTGTTACATGCTAGTTATTTTTAGGCAGGCATTTCTATGACAGTGATGCTTTTATCCAGAATAACGTGGCCCTCAGTCTGTGTTTCTCCCTGAGCTGAAGCCAGCCCCACCTGCTCATGCAAGCAGAGATGCTGTATGCAATTAATTTGGCTGGAGATGCTCCTGCCTCTCCTGAACACTTCACAGCCACTGTATCAGTCTGTGGGAGATGCTGTGCTCTGAGAGCACAGGTGCAAAGTGGCTGCACAGCAGCTGGCAGAGGCACACAGTGTCTTTTCTTAGCTTCACAAAAGGCACTTAGTGAGGTTCATGGCAAGCCACTAGCTCCACCAATAAGCAACAGACCTTTCATATCTGGGTATTGGCTTAAAATCTTTAGCCAGTCCATCACTCAAGCACAGTCATTTCCCTAAGTTAGTGATTATCCCTCCCCAAGGAGGACAAGGTGTCCTCTCCCCTGTCCACACTAGAACGAACATTTTACAGCAATTCTGATAGGCGTGGTGGCAAAACGTTTAGTCCCTTTACCACTTTGTCCCCAAGCCCAGACTAACATCTAGTGGATAGACCATCTCTGATGGTCCTGTCTCTGAGAAAAAGCCATGGTAGGAAGAGGCTCAGGGAAGGAAAGGCCCTGACTAGCAGCCCTTGCTCTGGCTGTGGATGGTCCATAGAGTAGGAATGAGCCAGACCTCAGAGTGCCCTCATCTTACCCCAAGCCTGACCCTAGCAGCTTTCTTGGCTCTGAAGCTCCAGCAGCACGCCCAGCTGCTGCAGAACTTCATGTATTCCAGTTTTAGGTGCTTAGCTTTTTCTCTTCTTCTGAACACACCAATCGGAGCGTGAAATGCTTGCTTTCACATTCAGCACAAAGCTCAGCCTGAGCTTTATATCCCATTTCCTTTCCCCGGCCATCACGTCCTGGCACAAGACCAGCAAGCAAGCAGAGCTGGCACAAGGGATAAGCCCGAACACAAACCTGTGACACAAACCTCCCTTTCCCTCTTTTCTCCTCCCTGAGGATTGTGCTGCTCACACTGCACACCCAGCCTTCCAGGAAGCTCCCAGGCCTGTCTGGTGGCCCTGTGGTGGTATCCTAGGACTCCTAGGGGCACAGTTGCGCTATATATCAACAATAAAACTTCTAAATGCTAAGAGTCATGTTACCAGCAGTGACTAACATGTTCCGTAAAAAATGCCGGCGGAAGCTGCTAGAATATGCTGAAGGTAGTTATAAACTGTCCTTCTGAGATTAGCTTCTTGGCAGTTGGTCAAAACCTATTTACTGAAATCTTTGTTACTTCTTTCTGCCTTCTCAAGTGGCCTCAGTCACTCAGTTCTGCTGCTGGGAAGTACCATGAGGACAGACTATATGCTGTCCTTTCAAACCACACTCCTCAGCTGCTGGGACTCCACCAACACTATGATAAGCCTGTGTCCAGAAATGATGTGCCCCTGGCTAAGAATTGATTATTTAACAGAGCTACTAAAATAATTGGGATCTCTCTCTTTAAGCGTTTGACCCTGAGGCAGAAGAGGGGAGGGAGTGAGGGAGAAGCAGAGAGAAGATGGTAATCGCTTTAGATAACAACCTGAGTCATGGTAATAGCAGCCTAATTGCTATCCAAGGGCTTTTAGCAGGAAACAGGCACACCTAGAGAGGCACTCATGCAGAGAAATATTAGTTTTAAATGGAAGGACAACAGACATTGTAATGAACTTTCATCTGAGCACAATGGAAAGTAAGAAATATTTGTTTGCTTATGCAAAAATCACCTTACATCCAAGAGCTACTTGCTGCTGTGGATGGTGTATAATTCATGTGAGAAACAGATACGTGCCAGGGCTCAAAGTGAAATGGAGATTAATTCTTAGGCAGAAGAAAAGAAAATAGTCATGTTTTGGGAGGAAGTGGTTGAATGCTCTCTCTCCAGAATAAATCAGTTTTCACAATGATTTTTACCGTTCCATGAATAAAATTCACAAATATCAGTTCAGAAACACGAAGTAGGACCTTTATGTGAAAGCAGGTGTGATCATACTAAGCAATTTGCTTAGGAAAAAGCTCATATGAATGATTTGCCACTGATTGATCAATCCCATGTAAATATCCAACGTGCCCTCTGAATGCAGCAGCACTGCTGTCTTTCTTACACAGAAGATCTGTCTGCACTGCTTTGAAGTGTACGGCAGAAGTAGCTCTTTCCTCATAATACCCAGCTCCAAATCTGACTGCAGCACTGTGAAACAGCAGCTTAAGGGTCAGCCCAGTAAATGAGACCACGTTTCCACAACGGTCTGTGGGCAAGCCGCTCGGCCCCTGTTCCCCAAGTGCTGTTACTATTTCCTAAATCTGTTCTCAGAATGGAGGCTGTGGCAAACAGATGTTTCCTGTAGCTCTCAGTCACAGCCCTGCTAGTTAGAAGAATCAACACCTTCTGAGTCATAGATGATAAAATGCCACTTTATTCACACAGTATGTTCTGTATGCAGTGAGTCAAGTTGAGCCTGAGAATCAAGTATGGCCTCTGAGGCGTCAGGTGTATATGTGTAACTACACATTACTTTGGACGTTTCCCTTCCAAATATCATTTTCCTATTTGTAACTTGCATTTGATCGATTTCCAGAAATACTGTAAACCAAGAATTATCCATCTTGTATTGCTGAATGATAGTATTGGGGTAGGCTGCTATGGCAACAGACGTATGATCTCCGGATTCACACATGAAATGATCATACAGTAACAGCTTTTCAGATACCCCTTCACTGTACAAGCAAGAAAGTATACTGAGCTATCCCAGTAACCTTGAGAAGAGAGCAGCTATGAAATAAACTGAGATTTTTACTACACTACATTGTTTGGAAATACACATAAATGCATGCTTCACATTTAAAAGAAAAAGACACAAAACAACAGAGTTGAATCACTGACATAAAAACATCTGATGAATATTTACATTATAAATTAGTATTTACATTATACTTACATTTGGAAATTCAGCCAATCATGGATTGGCATTGCCAGTGTGTTTACATATCAAATCAGGTAACCATCCTTGTCCATGAGGCAGCAAATTACTATTTTCTTCTTCTTAAGAGCTGAAGTTTTACACAAAAGGACCTTTCTATTAGAAATATATTAGGTTCAGCTGACCTTGACCAAAGGTCAAAGGAATTGTTCACACTAATCACTGAGGCTTTGACTTAGCCTTTATTTTTCAATTTGGAATCTCCTAAAAAGAGGCGAAGATGAAGTAGAATTCATTTTATTATCACCACTATCCCATGTGGCCACTCCACAGATGCAGGCTGTTGACCAATATGGTATCTGTCTGGCATAGGTCACCAGCATCCACCATAGAAGTTCAGTTCATACAGTGCAGCTACACATGCATGCTCCCACTGATGATGTCTGTCTGGAAAGAGTTTTTGCTTGCAGAAATGTTTTAATAGGAAGACACCAATAGAATAATTAGAGTTAGTATAGAATAAACTCTGAAGTGTCTATCACTTGATAACATTAGGAACAAATGATTTATAAAAACACATGAAGGGGTGACATAAGTGAAGCTGTTTGGGGCAGGAGGTGGGCGAGACTAAATTCTCTGTTTCTGTGGCTCTGCAATCCCCATACTTTCAGTGTTGTAAGTGATAGCTTCTTGCAGGCCCTCAGGTAGTAGGGCAGATTTCAGGGAAGGAAAGTTGAAATGAGATGTCAGGTAAGGGGGAATAAGGAGAACACCTGGAAGAGTGTCATACATTCCTAGTCATTTTTCTACCAAAATATTTTTAATATCTATGGCTCAATGAAATAAGTCTTTGGGAATACTTTTTTTTTTTTTTTTTTTAACTATATACCATCTGGCACGTGATAGAGGGACATCTGTGCAGTACAGACATTTTTACTTAATATGTGCTGGGAGGTTTAACTGGTAGACAGAAAATAAATTTTTATGAAGCAGAAAGATGCCTTAAAAGAAAAAAAACTAAAAATTGAGTTTTCAGAATGTAAGAGCTTTCTAGCTGCAGACATTCTAATACTATGCATTAGTGTTGCTATACTGGGAAATATGCAGACTGGGTGTGCTAATTTCTGAGAATATTTGTTCACTGGCTATTTGCAAGAAGCGGCTGATGACAATGTCCTTGGCCTTGGTGGTCTCCATTTTCCTCTCTCGTGATATCTGTGTGCTGATTTGGTCTACATTAGTCATGATGAGCTCTGAGGCCAGGATCTGTGTGGGGGATGCCCTGTTGGCTGTGCTGTCCATGATGTACTGCTTGTACAGCTCCATCAGCTTCTGCTCCAGGTAGTCGTTGAGGGCTGAGTCAGAGAGGGGCTGCTGGTGTGGCACCAAGCTTGTCACGCGCCAGCATGATGAGAAGCCTTGAGCCTGCTTGCGGCCTGTCTCGCTGGGGGGGACCCGCATGGACTCCATAGGTGGAGGAATCTCTGAGGACTCCAGGAAGGGGCCTATGCCACTGTCACAGGTAAAATCGGTTGCCACTGAGCTAATAGGCACCACGCAGTCCCCAGCTATGTGCAAATCACTGTAGTTCTTGCAAATGCTTTTGCAGGAGGATGGAACCAGGTAGGTGTCTCTTCTTGCCAGCCCTTCACAGACATCCATAGCTGGAGACACCTGCCCTTCAGGCAGTGGGTGCTGCATGGGCTGCTGGAGTTTGTCTTTCTGCCTTCTGCTATGTTTGCTACCTCTAGAGTGAATTGAAGAAATGCATTTGCCAGCAGATCTGCATCTCTGAAGGAGGCTTTTTCCTTGTGCTTCATCCCTGGAGGAACAATTAATGGCCCTCATTTCATACACCATTTCCTCCACTGCTTGGCTGGTGCAGAGCTCAGAGTCTTCACAGAGGTAGGCAATTCTGTAAAGGTAACCTTCTGACAGCATCCTTCAAGAAAGCAAAGGAACCACCAGCAGACAGGAAAATGACAAGAAATCATTAGTTTATTACCAAGTCATTGAGTGGTAACTATATCACAGTTCTGTTACTAGCTACAGAGATATCTTTCCAATTTGGGCATTAACAAGCATCTGTCTTTCTGAGAGATGTAGTGAAATAATTGATTTGTTTCCCTATTGTGATGTTAACTCCATCACGTCTAAGTATATTCTGTATAACATAGCATGTGGTATAGAATCATAGACTCACAAGGTTGGAAAGGACCTGCAAGATCATCTAGTACAACTGTCCTCTCATCACCTTGCTACCACAGGCTACTAAACCACATCTTGTAGCTCCTCATCCAGGTGCCTCTTGAACACTGCCAGGGATGGTGACTCCACCTCCTCCCTGGGCAGCCATTCCAGTGCCTGACCACCCTCTGAGAGAAAAAGTTCTTCCTTATGTCTAATCCAAACCTCCTCTGGCACAACTTGTGGCCATTTCCTCAGGTGCTGTTTGCTGCCTGGGAGAAAAGACCAAACTCCTCCTCATCACAACCTCCCTTCAGGAAGTTGTAGAGTGCAATGAGGTCTCCTCTGAGCCTCCTCTTCTCCAGACTGAACATTCCCAGCTCCCTCAGCTGCTCCTCATAAGACTTGTGCTCCAGACCCCTCACCAGTTTTGTTGCCATTCTTTGGGCACATTCCAGAGCCTCAGTGTCTTTCTTTGAGGGGCCTGTATGAATAATCCATCCAAAGACAAGTGAGTTCAGAAGAGAGGAACAGCAAGTGGTTTGTTGCAGTAATAACTGCTGTAATAGTTCACGCTTAAATATGCATATTTTTGCTTGTGATTTCAGTTCAGAAGCCAAGGGTTTTCCCCACCTTTTCCAAATACTCTGAAGCAACTTCTACTGTGTTTGGTTTGTCATCTGTTTCTGAACTAAGTTAATTTTAGATTCGTATTTAGAGTGTAACTCTGTCTTTTCTGTACTGATCAATGACTGCAAGTGTGGTTCCCCTTTCACAAAAAATTCTCAGATTGTGAAATTAGCATTTACTACTTTTGCATGAGCAACCTGTATAGGCTTGAGCAGTGGGCCCAAGAGAACATCAGGAGGTTCAACAAAGCCAAATAATGTAAGGTCTTGCACCTGGGTTGTGGCAACTTCCACTGTCAGTACAAGCTGGGGGATGAAAGGATGGAGCACAGACCTGTCAGAAAGGACCTGGGGGTCCTGATGGATGGCAAGTTGGACCAGCAGTGTGCCCTCACAGCTCAGAAAGCCAACTGCATTCTGGGTTGCATCAAAAGAAGCAGGTGAGGGAGGTGATCCTGCCCCTCTACTCTGCACTGGTGAGGCTTCACATGGAGTACTGCATCCAGATGTGGAGTCCTCAGTACCTGAGAGACATGAACCTGTCAGAGTGCACCCAGAGCAGGGCCACAAAAATGATCCAAGGGATGGAACAACTCTTGTATGATGGAACAACAGGCTGAGAGAGCTGGGGCTGTTCACCCCGGAGATGAGAAGGGGAAGGGAAGGGAAGACCTGATAGTGGCCTTTCATTATCTGACGGGGGGATATAAAAAGGAAGGGGACAGACTATTTATGAGGGTCTGCGGTGATAGACAAGGGGAATAATTTTGAACTAAAAGAGGAAAGATTTAGACTGGATATAAGGAAAAAGTTTGTTGTTGGTTTCTTTTTTTTTTACAGTGAAGGTGGTGAGACATTGAAACAGGTTGCTTAGAGAGGTAGTGGATGCCCCATCCCTGGAGACATTCAAGGCCAGGCTGGAGGCAGCTCTGAACAATCTGATGTAGCTGTAGGTGTCCCTGTTCACTGCAGGAGATTTGGACTAGATGACCTTTATTGATCCCTTCCAACACAAACAATTTCATGATTCCATGATAAGCTGGATATAATTGTCTGTAGTTTTTAGACATTAAAATGTCAGTGGCATAAGCAAGGCTTTTCAGAGGCATGCATTCATAAGCTCTGAAATCATCTTTTTGGTTCTAGCAGCCACTGATCCTCTCCTGGTAGCTCAGTTTCAAAATCTGTATAGATGTCAATGACAAATAAGACTCACTAGCAGGAACAGAAATGTCTCTGCATGTCACCATATGTTCTGCCCAAGTCTAAGCTATTCCACTGCCATATAATTGTTTTTAAGTCCACCTTTGTGTCTTTTATTTAAACAGATGTCAAGGAAATGATTCATAGGAAAGATGTCATAAAGAAATTGTGTGGTCCAGCAAAGAGAACATAAATCTTAGTTACATAGATAGATTTTTCCTTAGTACAAAGTATCTTGTGATAGAGAAGCAAACAGATTGTCTTTGTGTAAACAGTGATTACTTCTTTCACTTACTGTTTAATCCATTCATATCATTTTAATCCTTATGGGTATTGTCTGTGCAGCATTTGAGCATATGTCCCAGTTATTTCTCAAAGCACCTGCTGTGAAGGAGCACTATGCCTCACACTGTGAGTGGGGAGGTGGGATCTCTCTGGCACATGCTGTACTACTCCATGCTGTTGTTGACTGTTAGATTCTTCATTTACAAGATTGAAAAAGAAAATTTTGTAAAATTTTCATTTCTTAGTCAGACTTTTCTTGTGCTACAGTTGCTAGTGCCAAATGCTGTAGTAGTAATAAATGTTGGCTAAATCCTGACTATGGACTTTATGCAGATGTTGGCAAGAAAACAGCTTGATACTTTCTCCAGAAGGGAAATAAATCATTTCCACATTAAGAAGAAGGCAGCTGGAAGAAAAGTAAACTTCCCTCAGAAGGAAATATTTGTGAAAATTAAATGTATCCAAACACTTTGGTGACCCTGGAGCCCCTCTGCTGCTGCAAGTCATGTGGGATTTCGCACCAACAGGTAGCATTTAGTGAAATATAGTCTATTTACACGAGAGGCAAAAAAACAACATACTTATTTGGGGCCTGGCATTCCTTAAGGTACCTTGCTGTTGCCTTGCTTTAGATTTTAGCTGTGGATGAAGTACCACAACAGAGATCTTACCCAAGTGCTTGAACTGCTCAGCTTGTAAGCCCACCTCTCTCTCCTCCTTCTCCTTGTGCAGTGCAAAAGCTGTTTCCTTCCCTTGCTCACCCTGGGCCAGAGAGATTTAGTGTCAAATTATCACTAACTTAGGCAGTCTTGAACATGAAATTGCTATGCAGTTATTCCCACACATACTTTTAATGTTGATTCTGAGAAATGAGTGAAAATATAACACATGGCCTATTCACTTTTTAACCAAAATGCACAAAGCCACGTGTGCTCAGGTAGCATGTGACATGTCTGTCTTTCCTACTGCCCAGATGTATCTTGTTTCTGTCATAAGGTGATGCATTAAGGAAATGAAACTGCTGGTTTCATTTCTTCATGCTGCCTTCTGCAGTACTTGTTTTCAGAGGTTTAGAGCACACAGTCTGAGACTGGAATAATAGCAAATTCAAAAACATTAGGCTCCCATCTTGCTTAGGATTTATATACTTGGCTCTTGGAGTTACAGGACTACCCTTGGAAGGTTGCAAGGGCTGTGGCACTCATCTGACAGCACTCACAGAACTGCTAGGAAATCTAATTGATATTTTGATAGTCAGTGTTCAGAGCTCAGTGTTCAGAGCTGGAATGCTAAGTGAGCTACGTGTGTCTCTCTGATCCTAATAATATATAGCCATGTCACATTATTCCATCACTGCTGATGGCTGGGCACTCAGCTGGGTCACCCTTAATTCCTGTACTTTATATGAGACAGGGATGACAGTTCTCATTAATTCTGCTTTCTTGTGTCCCTTCTCTTAATCCCCCTTTTGTACTGTACACACGTATATACACTAAGATTCTAAGTGCATCGGAGCTGTATCTACTGCCTTTCAATATTTTGAGTTTCATGGTCCTTAAATTTGACATTCGCTTCTCTTGTCCTGAAAATAACTGCGTGACTTTTGTTACACAAGGAAAAACAGTCCTGTTTACAATATTGATCTGATGCACTTTGCATATGAGTTGAACAAGCAGATATTTCCTTGTGCAGACACTGCATCAGCAGTGGGAGCTATCTGCATCTTACCTAAGCACAGATTGCAGTGGAAGCACAGGGAGAAGGCTGTCTGACTTACAGTGTTTGCTATGTTATCATAGCCCTTATCACTCTCAGAAGCTCTTGAAAAGTCATATTGTCTTCCCTGGGGCTTTTGTTCAGTTCTTCAGAGGAATAAAAGCCTGAAGGCAGGATGAATGTTTAAAGCTATGTGGAGAATACAGTGATATTGCTACTATTTTCTAAGTGGCAGCAAATTTGCTGGAATATAATGCTTGGAGATGGTGCCACTGTTTGCTTGAAGACCTCATATTAGAGTCTGAAAGCAAGCACATAGAATGGGAGTTCTTGGCTCGGGACAAACAAAAAGCTTAAGGAAAGCCTGAGAGGTGTACGCAAAGTTATGTGATGAATGGTGACCTATATAAAAACCTTGAGCATGATCAGAAGTTGCTGGGGAGAATGGAAAGAGCATGGTGCCAGCTGGGATCACAGATCATAGGGAAAAGTACATTCTTTTGCAACACAAAAGGAGGAAATTGTAAGCTCACAGAAGAGACAAGCCTGTTTTGAAATGGAGTATGTCTGGCTTTCAGCTCTCTGAATGAGACTCTGAACTGTACTGAAGTTGTGTTGTTCAGTTCAAGTTATAGCACAGTGTAGCTTTAAGCATTGCTTAGTTAAGCTGTCAGTATTGCTTAAGTAAGTTCTCTCTGACTTACTAGATTGGACTGTAATTAAAGTCTCTGTCTCAAGGGAAGCCAAACCCTGTGGATCCATCGTTGGTACATTTTTTCTCAATCTTAACAGACACTTGTATAGTCTAGGGAGAAACCAATTCCTTCATAGGAGTTTGAGATTCACCTCAAACTTCAGCACATGGATGCAAGAGTTCCCCTGACAAGCAGGTTAGGCTGGAACAGAGAGCCTGCATATGCTGCAGGACTCAAAGGTCACCTTCTACCAGCTCCTGGGAAGCCAGCATAAGGAAATCAGGTCAGTGAAGAAGGTAGTGAAATTAGCTGTTCATATGGATAAGTGTAGCCTTTTTTTAATGCACAAAACCAAGGATTTTTAGTGTCTGAACCCTATTTCATGGAGATTATGTCCAGTGTCCAGAGCTGGCTTGGGTAAACAATGGGGGCTGTTTTTTGAGGCTGGAGTTGTCCTACTTTGCCCACAGTAGAAGAGGACTAGCAAAGAGGGGTTTCTACGCAAGCATTGGAATGCTACCCGTTGTGCATGTATCTTCCTCTCCCTGCTGCTACAGAAGATGTGGAACCTACTGGGCTGCCCCACAGGGTTCTGGCAGCAACAGTAGCAGTTATGAGCTAAGCCTCTCGTGCTCCCTCCCCACAGCTCTCTAGCTCCAGTCCTTTTGTCTTCTCTCAAAAGAAAATTTGAGCCCAGCCCATCTTTACTCACAACTCCATAGCTCAAGAGATGCAGGAAAGCTTGGAGAGCCTCTCCTGCAAGGGATGTATGGGAATGTTGAGGGGAACAAAGTTTGAGAGGATTATAATCCTGTGTATTACTTTCCCCAGAGACGCAATACGCTTTATATGTTTATTGTAATGTTGCATGTTCTTGTTTGACCGATGTCTACCCACTGACCTCCAAGAGCAGCTGGCTTCTCTCATTTAAAAATAATCTTTTAATATTTGTTTGATGTTTTGTGTGGAGTTTTGTGGGGCAGGCTTCCATAAAAATACAGCAAAAACTCTATGAGGTAAACAGAGCTTCTTGAGCTCTTAGATCACTTCCCATCTAATTCTGTTTTATTAGCTGAAGTTCCTTGAAGCCTTGTTCAAGGCAAGCCTAATTCATCACTTTTCACTCTTCCCTTCCTTAATCATCTATACCTACACAGAGATATTTAGGACACTGTCTATTTTATTTGATAGCATTTCACATCTAATACAAAAAAACTGTAAGCATTAATACAAAATGAAGCAGGAACAGATCAAGCTCCATATTCATAAGGGCAACTTGACTATAGTGTAGATCTACACTGTGCTTTTCTTCAAGGGGGAAGTCATGTCATGTTTCTAGATTTCTGTTTTTATTTTAATGAGTTGTCGGCTGTTGCTATGACTGAACTATTTGGACTGACATGTTTTGTATCTAAGCAGTTGAAGTACAAGGGACGGATAGAGAAGAGAACACACTTTCTGGAACAGAAGAGAATGAACAGTAAAGCTAGATAGAAAATGGCAGATAGAAAATGCTGAAGGATCTTGCCTGGAAGAAGAGGGAGGAAACAGTGCATTAACAAGCCTTGAAACATTAATCTCATCTGCTGTAGAATGTAAAAAAAGGAGTGCAAAATGTGCATATTGTGTGTACATACATGTCATGCTGTGGATTTGTACTGAACCAGAATATTGGCTGTAAATCAGGAAAATACAAGGACAAAATGTCTTTATTTTGGGTGGGTTTTTTTTTTTTTGTTTGTTTGTTTGTTTTCCCCAAAAGGTCTCAACATTTTTCTGTGAACATATTTTAATACAAATCCCATTTTATCTGTTATGGTGCCTATTTCTATTTCTAGTCTACAAATAGTGTACTCCACTTCTAAGATTATTTGAACAACATGCTACCATGTAAAGAAAGACCAAGAAAAATACCATAATTATGACAAAAGCAATACATCTGATAAGACTCCCTTTAAAAGTATTCTGAAGTACGTTATTTTGGTATGACTTTATGAGTCTTTAGAAAGATTGGAAGATCAATCCATATTTTTTTTACATTCACAGACACAGTCAGTCATGGCTCTGAAGATAGACAGCACTTCTGAAATGCTCTTATTGTTTCCTAAGGCAGCAGAAATTGCGTGTGGATGGTGGCTGGGGCTTTGCAAACACACACATGCACTAAGAACACACAGGAGAAGCGTGTCTTCATTTTACCAGCTACCAGATGTGATACCATACAAACAAAACCAAGCCACCTTGGTAAGCAAGAGCAATTATTTCAGATCTTTATGTACAAATAGTATGTTATGGTACTTACCTCTGAAGATCAGCAGCAGAGCAGTACAGAATACTGGTTGTCTTGCAGTCAGTTTAAAGCTTTCTATCCTACCCTAAAACACAACCTTCTGTTTTTATTTCCTTTTCAAATGCACTTCTAAGATGACGTGTTTTACTTCTAATCCTCTATAGCAGAAGTATAGAAAGAAAGTCCCTTAGGAGATGAGGGGTTTTTATAACTGACCGAACTTCAATACGCTTGACTTGCTTCCTCTTTTATGTCTAAATGAAACTTTGTTATGAAACTGTGTATAAATAACTGATTGCAACACATTCAGTCCATGCAACCAGACTTCTCCTTATTAACTGTTATATAAAACAAGCAAACAAACAAAACCAACAAAACCCTAGTGAATTGAACAATGCTAGAAAAAGTACTCATATTTTGGAGATATTTGGCACACCCAATTTTAACCATTATTTATCATTTTATTTTTAACAGACACATCAAGACATCTAGTTCAAGAATGTCATACCAAATACACCTGTCAAAGCAGAAATGCACTACACAGCAGCTCTATTTTATTGTCTTCAGATCTCTGACGTCTCAGCTTCCACAAAACAGCACAGCTTAGCTGGTTAGTGAGGCTTTGCTTTTGGAGTATCTGCAAACCCTGTCATGAGGAAGGTTAGACCCAGCATGCACTCAGTACCTCAGTGCCTGCAGTTAGATCCAGGCAGACAGCATCTCTTATCAAGGGCAGAGTGTTAAAATTCATTGGACAAGTGGAGTTCACTCTCTGAGCTTGAGATGCATGAAAGACAACCAGGTTTTGTGAATGGTGCTGGAGTATTCCTGAAGGGTCAAAGGACATTTACTGTTTGTAGGATGTAATGGCAAGTCTGGTTCATCAGGAATGTATTCCCATCCTCAAAAAAGAGAAATGCTTTAAGTGAGCTGCTCCACCAAAGAAGCTTAGTATAAATCTCTGCTTAGCCTGGGCCTGCTTTGTCAAATAGTTCAGAGGCAGCTAACAGCCTGCCAGCTGTAGGTGAAATGTCTGTTCAAGAAATTATAAATGGGGAGTGTTTGAGAGGACCCTTATTCCATTGCCTTTTCTTAAAATCAATAGTATGAATAAGTGCAGAAAATAAATCAATTTTCCTGTTAGTGTATCCAGGCAGGTATGTATGCACCAAGTGCATGCTCTTTTCTCCTCTCTTTTACACAAATTAGAAGACTGCTCTTATCACAGTTCAGAGGTCTTTCCCTCTTTCCCTTCCATCTCAACATGTCTTCATTCCTATTTTTTTTTTAACCTTGAGTGGTCAAATTGTTTTACCTATATTTTTCCTCCAAAAGTTATAAATACCACTGCACTAGTGCATTCCAAATGAAGTACGTTAGTGTACAAGTGATCCAACCGACAGCAGAGAGTATGTTGTGGTTTCCTTGAACAACTATGCACAGGCACACAAGTATACAAGCCCTGTTATTTAATCTGTAGTACATGATTCACAAGTGGCTTGTAAAGTGTCAAAGGGCAATGTTCAGGGTTGGACGGCCTCTTCTTATTGACAATGCCTGTGAAAAAGTCAGAGACTTTTTCTTCTTTTTTGAAAGATAATTCAATAACAGATAATTGTGAACAAAAACAACAACAAAAATCTAAATGTCACCAGCTTTATTTACACCTCTGGCTTCAAAAGAGGATAAAAGGCGATCCACAATGTATAGACAGATTGATAGACAGATACTGACTGAGACTGAAGTACACAGTAAATACTGTCAAACATTGGAGCATTTCAGTCAGCAGCAGAGAGCAGCTTGAAACTGCATTGTGCTGTTCAGAAAGCAAACTGTACCTATTCTTTGAGCAATGGAGCTTATTATTTCCCATCTCAGCAGCCAACTTGACTAAATGGACTATCAGCAGCTATACCTGTTGTGCTTGTACCTTGCAGAGTCCTCCGTGGTCATTTTTTAAGCTTTCTAGGATGCAAAGACATCAGTCAGTTCTGGTCTTTCCATAGAATTTGTGTTGTGGTTGGACTAGTCCATTTTTTAAAAAGTCAGTTTGCACAGAAGAAATTCAGCAGTGCCTTTTATTTTCCTTCATTTTTCCCCAAGATACATTCTTTCTTTGTAAGTCCATGGAGTTTCAAATTACCCAAGTAAAATGTCAAGATTTGCAGGTTCTCTTTCTTCAGTTTTGTTTAATGCTTTGCATGCTCTGAAAACTTCTTTAAATGCTCAAAACCATCTAAATATTTCTGGAAACAAGGTGAAAAATATACCTTCATTATCATTCTTTGTTTGTCAATCTCAGTGCATGTAGCAAATGTACTTCTGGCTGTAAATAAATTAAGCAGCTGTTCCAGATCACTACACTTAAATGCTACTGCAGAATAAAAAAAGCTTAAGTCTGTATCTCAATTCCATAATGACAGATAATTTCCTACTGCAGGAACACCAGCTTCTTGGAACACATTGTATTACAATGCATTCTTTGTTTCACACGTCCAAAATGGTTACTCCTATCTGCTCACTTAATTAAGCAGTTACACCCTATGTATCAGAAAGGCGTCAGAATTAGATCCTTGGTAAGACATATCAGGAACCTCTTTGTCTGCTTGGGGTGTATTTCCACTTTTTATTCAATATATGATGTTTATTTTGTACAGTGCAGTGTCTGAAGTGGAGACTCCTGCAGCCAACAACACAGTCCTAGAAGAGGATGCTGACATTGTTTTGCCAATGTTACCAGAGCAGGGTGCAGCCTGCCATTCTCTCTTCCCCTTGGTTTTCTTCTCCCAAGAACCTTTTTCTGACTTTTTGCCTTTGGGTGAGCTCTTCATTCCCTTCTCAGCAGGTCTCCAAATTTAATAAGCTTAACCTTCAGCAATTCCCAGCTGTAGAGAGGAGCAGCTTGTTTCATCTGCTGTGCCTTGAGGACAAAGAATACCATTCATCTCCACAGGACCAGCTCACTGCAGTATGCAGTATCACTGCTGACACTGCAGGGAGCTGCTGATTTCTTCATGGCTTTCCACTGATCAGATTTCTTCTGTGTCTGGATGGACTCTTTCATAAACCAAGATTAGGTGTGTAATTCCAAAATAAGAATTAGTTAATTATAAAACTTCCATGCTATATCCAATGGCAACAGAAACAGGCTGTAACACTGCCTACCTGTACAAGAGCCTACCACATGATACACATTCTAATTTTGTATTGATTCTTTTAGCTTTATTGAGTTTTTAGGTTTAACAAACTAAATCACATCTTGTGCTGCTAAACTACTTCTTGGTTTACTGACTGTTAATCACTGGTGGTGAGGCTTCAAGATATCAGAGAAAAAGTTTTCATCTAGCAAACAGGATTGTGCAATAGATAGTCTTTTCCCCTCTTTTTGTAGTTTTTCAGAATATGCCAACATAACATAATAAATTTGAAACCACTCGGGCTACTAAGGGATTTTCTGATACTGTAACAAAGTTCCATGAAAAATTGCAGAAATCCGAGGTATTACAGAAGTCTGGTTATTTTAGTTGTATTGGCACATGTCTGTACTTTCCAGGGAGAGCCACCCAGTGGCAGCTGGCTGTATTTATTGTGTATTTTTCTCACGCACTGACTTTTATTTTCACTGATTACCACATCCCTAACTTCTTGCTTTTACATCTTTTCAGCAGCCAAGAAAATACATTTTTTCAGCTCAGATTCCCAAGTAGTAAAATAACATTAAAAATGGTGTCTGAATTGAGGTGCTGTCTTCACAAGGCTTACAACAGTGAAGTTCTTTACTACGAGAGTGGCAAGGTGCTGGAACAGGCTGTCTAAAGAGGTTGTGGATGCCCCATCCCTAGAGGTGTTCAAGACCAGGTTGGATGGGGCCCTGGGCAGCCTGGTCTAGTATTAAATGGGGAGACTGGTGGCCCTGCATATGGCAGGGGGGTTAGAGCTTCACGATTCTTCCAACTCAGGCCATTCTGTGATCAGAGATGACTGGGGAAGTAGGGAGTCTGCAACAGAACAAAAAGGAAAAGGAAAAGGAAAAAGGAAAAAGGAAAAAGGAAAAAGGAAAAAGGAAAAAGGAAAAAGGAAAAGGAAAAAGGAAAAGGAAAAGGAAAAGGAAAAGGAAAAGGAAAAGGAAAAG